TTGTGTGTGTGTGTGTGTGTGTGTGTGTGTGTGTGTGTGTGTGTGTGTGTGTGTGTGTGTGTGTGTGTGTGTGTGTGTGTGTGTGTGTGTGGTGTGTATTCTTAACCTACGTTTTAATGCATGGTTGCGATGATTCGTTTAAGAGGGCGTGCCGGTCGTAACATAAATCTTGATAATTGACGAGGCGAATCCTTGTGTGAAAGAGAGCTTAAGGATTAATTTTTATAGCAAGCACTGAGAGGCCTATCTTTTTCACCTGCTGTTACAGTAACAGCTCTTCGATTCACTACGTACACGTTACGTTATAATTACGTACATAAAGGAACCGGTATACATTGAATTTGAGATAACGAAAAATGAACTGAACCGAGCACGACGCAATAGCCATTTGACGCTTCCCTTCAATTCGTGCAGGAAGGAAGTTGATAGAGAAACATTGCACTGCATATCAATTTATGTGCACGGCTTATGCGCGTGAAGATTTTTCTCCTTTCATCTTGTCTACAATCGTCGCGTTTTAATCTTATATCTTTATCTATTTTATTCCTTTTTTAAAGCTGTGTTGATTATATTTCACATCTTAATCCTGAAAAATTAATATTATTTTTCCATTGCTTAAGAAAATGATACAGATGAATGATACAGTTCAAAAAATAATACGACCACGATTCTGCTAAATTATTATTTTTTTGTGTTTTATTTTTTCGCCGGCTAACAGTGTAGTCGGATAAAAAAAAAAAAAAAAATTAATTCAATAAAGCTATCAACTGTTTGTATGCATGACGTGTTCATTCGTGTGAGACGGTATCGCGAACGATAACGTAATTGACAACTAACTTGTTAATTGTTGTCATTCATCCCTCTCCTCCCAAATTTGCTCGAACTGAATCACGCAGATATTTCGCCATTGTTCTGAATATTACTCAACGCCATCTGAATTCTCGAAATTGAACTCATTACAGGAGCCAAATCTTTTTTCTGATAGAATAGCATAAAAATATATATTTTAAAGAGATATATATTAGATATAAAAAATTAATTTTAAAAAAATTATTTTTCTCTAATTATTTTTTGTAAACAAAAGCTTGTTTTTACGAGTTGCATTGATACCGATATCCTTCTTGATAAGATTTGTCTAACCGCCATTATGTTTGTATTGTTACGAGACGCCAGACCAATGTTCACTTTATTAAACATTCATATCTATAAAATGTGAATTAAACTATGAATAAACTTGATTTATTTAAATTTAGATCGTGAAATATAGATCAAATATTCTGCTCTGAGTGTACAAATGTTTTGAATAGCGAAATATTCCTGAATGAAATATGAAAGATTAAAAATCAATAACATATTACAGTCCATTTAGTTACTTTTAATTTGTTGAACATAATAATGTATATAGCAAGGATATTTTTTCAATACTTGCAATACAATGAACAATAAAGAATGAATGATCTGTATAAAAACAATATTATTGTCATTATTTATAAATAGTGTTAGATATAGATAATCGATAATGGAATGTACTCATTCGTATTGCGTATTTAATAAATTTTTAAAATCAATTTTCTCGAGGAATCGAATAAAGAAATTTTATATCAAATTTTTTTCTTATTTTTTCAATACGAAATATTGTTTTATTTTATCTCTATGATTCTTTATTTCAATATAAATTTAAAATATTCTATTATATTAAAATTTTCGAAACTATAAAAATAAAAAAATTTAATAATAGATTCCGTAACATTGAATGTTACTATTTTTGTTTCCATAAATCACCTCTGAATCGTCACATTATTCAATAACAGTTTGAGATCACCGTATATCGTTGACTTAATGGCATTCGCGCAAGTGTAAACTCACACGAGTGAGCAAAGTTAAGACGGATATGTATACATACACGCATATAAACGACGGCAATACATACACGGTAGGCGTATAGAGGAAGGCGCGTGCGTGTAGGCCTCGCTGGTAATTGTGGTTAATTTAACGACAGTCAAAGCAACGACTGCCTGTCCTTACTGGTCAGTTCACGCGACCAAGTCCCACTCGACTGATCGACCAATGTGCAATACCCTCGTGGCTCGAAACTACACACGACCGTTATTTGCTAAACCGAATTATTAAACCTCGTCGCTAATTCTGTTTGTTTCATCGAATTTGCGAAATCATCGTACAAACTTTATCGGTAATTTCACTATAGACAATAATCTCAGCCGATTTAATAACGCCAGTTATCGACAGGAAACAATCTCGATCGAGTTTCATCTTGTGTACAGTCTCCTTTTGTAAATTTCACTATCGTGCAGTGTGCTATATCCTGTGTGTATATATATACATATATATCGTTGTGTCGTCCCAGTCCCTCTATCGTAGAAAAAAAAAACAGTCGACATTAGTTGGATAGGAGTCGGTCAATGTCGAAGCACGTGTTTATTATTTTTTTCGCAGGATATCCGGTAAACTTTTATGATTCGTGAACGGAGAGAAAGTATTTATATTTAATCGTGTAACGTTGTATTGCATACGATACGCTATAATCGAACGTATAACATAAACTCCCTTAAATTATTTCGATGTTAGATCGCGTTCACTGTGAATCCATATAACGAATGTATATTCAGTAATCAAAATAAAGTTGTTTTATGCGTTAAGTGAGATTGACTATTTCAATTGGTCATCAAGATGTGTTACTGTGACTGTGTGAAGCTTGACGAGAATTGATGTCGAATGATGTCTCGTTGTTAGAGACGCGTGACATTTACGAGGATTCCGCTTTTTCTAATAATATACCGCACATAGTGAACGGATCGAGAGTGAAAATTAATCTTATTCACACGAGTGTAAGACCGCGACCGCGACGTATTGTGGCTTTTTGTAGTTTCGTTTCGAAGCATGCTACCTTCTCGAAAGGAATATTATCGGCCGTTCAGTTTCGTTCTGAAATGAAACGGTAAACAACGGTGTGGTAGGAATAGAGTTTTTGAGGCACAGCTGTTGCTGAACTTTTCTCATCCGTTGCATAAAAGTCCACTGAGTCATCGAAAGATATGTTTATATTTCGAACGAACAGCATCGTGTTACCGGTCGTGAAACTACTGTTACGATAAAATCAAACGTGGCGGTGTTAAAAACTTCCCAGTTGTTGGTTAAGAGTAGAAACGATTAATTATGGAGGAGAACCAGTAAATTGAACACAGGTTGAGAAATTTTTTAAAATAATTGTCGGAAACGGAACAATTAATTAATCACATATATTATAAATATTAATGATTCATAACATTTATTTTCCAGTTTGGCAAGTTTTAAGCGGCGTATTGGTTTTTTTTTTTTTTTGTTATTCACAATAGGATTTCTCTTAAAAACTGTAAACAATATCAATCTTTATTGTATATTGTATTATATCTCTCTATCTTTTCTATATTTTCTTTTTCTCAATATGGAATTTCGGAATCATGAACAATATGGCACGCTTATAGATTCGATCCGGACATAACCTACATAATATTTCTTGCATCGTTTTATCACTATCGTCCGTCGGAAGAAAAATCGTCGATTTCTCAAGTTCGTGTATACTTTCTCGTTAGAAACAGGACTTTAAACGAGTTTAGGATGACCTAGATCAATAGATGGACATCGTAAGTCTATAGGACCGAGGATTCGAGTCGATTCGAAACGTCGAGCGAAACGGTATAGCTGTAAGTACTTACATCTCAATTTAAGGGCAATTGTGCTAACAGTCCGACGCTCTCAATCAATTGTGGGCGTTCGCTTCGTTAACAAACGAACGAACGAACGAACAAACTCACGGCCAAACTCTATATTTTATTCTGTGTATCTTCTCCATTGTCAGACGTACGACTTCCTTTTCCGGTCTTGGTTTTTTACGGCCGTATTATTGAAATTGCACCGTTTAATCGTTATTTCTTATGTGCTAATGATAAATACGCCATCTCGTAAAAAGTCGATTAATCAATAATCTCGAGATATTAATTGTTTTGTTGCGTCGTAACGGACGTAACAATGATTGTATGATGATTAATTAATTAATAGTAAGAAACAAAAATTTTGATAAATTTCATAAGATAATACCTTTTTATAAAAATTTATTTATTTAAACAGAAAATACGGTTCATATTGAATCGTATTAAATCAATCAGAGGAGTAAAAAAAAAAAATTAACTTTAAATTGCATTTTATTTATTTTCCGTTGCTCTAAATTTCATACTTATTCGATTGTTATTTATTGCTCGCTTCAAATAATTCGATTAACAATCATGTTGACAAAATTACACGGATTGAATGATCGTGTTTTTACTCGTCAAATTTATTCTGTGCTGACGTGTGCACAGTGATTGTAGAAACTAGACCGGATTATGACCGTTTCCTAAAGGAAGATGGTAAAAATTGATAGAACCATTTTATGCTTGAACTGGATTCACTCGTATATCTAATCGAATTTTTTCTTTTTTAAACGCATCAGTGCATCCGCACTTTCCTTTTTTCTCTTTTAAATTGTAATCTCATAGATTGACGCATGTGTACAAAGAAGGAAAATGTTTGAAATTCGAACTTTGAATAGAATTTATCTTCTTATTGTATCTATTTAAAGAACGATAACATCATTTTATTATCATAAAGCATACATTTGGGGGAATGCGCATCTTAAGGAACAGAAAATATTGAAACAAATTAGTATGTATTTATACGTTTACTCGTGCATTTAATTTAAAAATATATAAAATTGTTTGAACGAATTACGATTATTAAATTTACTTTGTTTAAAGTTTTTCTATAAATTCTATAAAATATAAGATATTCAAACGTAGTGGGAAATTATGAATATTATTAATTTTATTAATAAAATCGTGTATTTCCTTTTTTTTTATCTTCGTTTTATTTGCAAATATGGGAAAAAAGAAAAATAGTAATTCACTTAAATATACTTTCATTCTATGTTTAAATTTTAATGATAAAAACGTCGTAAAAATGTTTGTAAATGTCTATTTTATTACATAAAAAAAATTTATTAAATCTTTTTAATTCAAATTCTCTTTTTATTAGCAAGTTATATAGTAGTATTATTGGCCTGATAACACGTTTTCGTTCACAGTTTATTTTCTTACCAAGCAGTTCATCTGCAGTACTTGTTGCTTTATCAATAACTGACCAGCACTATGTTAACAAATGTAACACGCATTACACGTATAAGAAGTAGGAATAATATGATTTAGTGAAAGATTATTTGAATTTAAAGAAAAACGCCTCAGAAAAATATCTCAATTGTTACGAATATTATTTATTAATATATCAAATTTGTAAAACTTATTAGTATTTAAAAAAATGATAATAATAATTCTCTATTTTTACGTGTAATAATTCTTCAATTTTATAAAATGTCTCATCAAAAAAAAAAATATATATATATATATATATCTATTAAAAAATATAAAGAAATGGAAAATTTTTAGGTTAGGTTAGGCAGTACAAAAGTTTACTTTCTTTAAAAACAAAAAAAATATTCTATTCTATTCGATTTCCTTGGATAAATAATGCGTAATTTGCGACACGATACACAAATATACGTTTATATAAATAACATTTTTATCTTACCTCGATAATTTCTAGCGTGCTTTTGAAGTTAGACACGTATAAGAAAAACAATCCCTATATATTATAATAATAATTGTCTTCTTACAACAATTCATCTTACAAACGACCTATTAAGGTCATCTCTTAGCGGCAAATTTTAAAAATAATCCTTTACGTGGCCATCACGCTATGAAAACGATGTTGTTGATCGTGTTCTTTGAGAACTTTCACGCACAACGTGCAACCATTATCTGTTGTAATCTATCAGGGCCCGATAATTGCAAAGCTTGCATAAAACTTGCAACACCGGCAACTTATCGTTTACCAGAGCGATAGAGTAAGAGAGATATAGATTCATGGTTGCATTCTATTAACGGAATCCTTTCTGAGGTTATAACGGGAGTATAGAGGAGCTAGAATTTTTATGCCACTGCGCTTTCAATTTTCTCGCACGAAATAGACCTTTGTACGCTTTGCTGATCGTAAAACAATACATCGAAATGTTAATACATATTTAGTTAGAGAGTGTATTCGTTTTCCTTTGATATCATTCACGAGAATACAATAGCAAAAAGTATATTGGATATTTTAGTATTTGAGGTTATGCTGTATAGGTTATACATATTGTTTAAGAAGAAGAGTGAGAGACAGTGTAGAATCTCAAAAATATTTAATCTTATAAATAAAACATTATAACATTATAAAAATATAAACAAAATCTGCTGATAATCAACACAAATATATATATATACTTTCTTAATTAATTATGACTATGGTAAAATTATGGTATTTTATCTTTTTAAAATATTGAAAGCAGTTAGATTGAAGAAGATTTTTACGATCTAATTATCTTTTATGTATATAATATTATAATTTTTAATATAAAAAAAATTATATTACTTTTAATTTAATTAATATATACTACAATGCAATTTTATAAAATATGAAATAATCATATTTAAAGATTACAAATAAACGATAGCTAAAAATCTATTGCGAAAATAAGAGATTTCTATATTTTCTATTTAAATATCCAATAACAAATATTCGTGTTTTTATCCCTATTTATATAAACTGGGTCATGTAAGATATAGCGGTGATAATTCTGAAAATATGAATGATGTGATATTATCTAATATTAGAAAATTATACGAATTATATATTTCAATATTTTGAAAACTATTTTTCACTTTTTTGCATATTGAAAGTGCTTGCCTTATAAATAATAAACAGTAGAAAGTATGTATAAAATCATATTATGTATATCTGAATTATTTCATAACATTATTTCATATATATTACAATTATGTATAAGATATGTTTAAACATTACATTTATTGAAACGTTTTATTTTTCACAATTCTTTTATTTTTTATCGATCTTTATAATTATTTGTAATAATAATGATTATTTAATTCATCACGTAATTGCAATCATTCTGGATATATTTAACGATATATAATTATAAGTCATCCTTTATATCGAATATACTTCTATCCTTTCATTCATTTCTATCTACGTTTATTCCCACAAAACAATGTTTTCGTTAGGCATTTTATCATTCTGTTATGAAACATTATTACATTTTCCAATAATCCGACACGCATTTATCTTATATCATCGTCACGAGATGGCGCTCGATTTTTTGCCAATCCATTCGTTGCAATGAATAGCTGAATATCACGATTAGATTCTCTATCGTATACTATACATACATATAGTCTCTCTCGTGCTTTCTTCGCCTGTGCTGCCCCACTCTATCATCCCTAATGTCATTCAGAACGCATAATACATAGTTATCGACTAATATCAATGAAATCTAGATGCAAGTTCGCCATTCGAAGCCAAGGAATGTCAAAGATCCCAGCAAGCGGTTCACATGCGAGCAGCGTGTTTCAAGAGTTACCAAGAGTTGTAATCGCGTTATGGTAGCTCATTGATTGCAGTTATTCGATAATAATTTGAGAAAAAAAATACGTGTGTATTCGTGATTTGTTAAAAATAATAATTCATTTCACGCGCGCGCACGTGTGTGTATGTGTGTGTGTGTGTATAAAACATAACACAAGAAAACGAAAAAAAGGACGCGAATAAAAACGGACGAAAGGAATAGTGAACTTTGTGAACACGAGGAATAATCGACGGTGGACCAGAGAGAGAGTGGTGGACAGTTGGAACGGGGAAAAATGTTCAAGCTAGCTGGACGACAGGAATGGGAGGCTTTGACGAAAGGTAAATGGCGCTGCCGTTTACAAAACAATTTTTTAAACAATTATTCTATATACGTGTATCCCTACCCTTTTACCGTGAGACAAGTTTACAACTATTGAAAACATGTTTAAAGGTTAGAAACGTACGTGTAAGATACATTTTATAAGAGAATAAAATCTTGCATGAATATTGCCCCTTCATGTGAGAATTTGTGAACAGATCCTGGCATGATAATGACATTCGTCAATAAAATTACGTTTGATTAATATTTTTAATTTAATGTTTTTGATCAGTGTTTTTTAAAAATCCGAGTTGTTACGATTTATTTCTTGTTTTTGAATAAAATCTAAATAATTTTGAACGATCAGTCAATTTTTACCGAACAGTGTAATATTGTGTTCAGCTTGTTTAGCACAAGTAACCTCTTTTGTACAGTTGCACCGCAATTTTTCGACACGCTCTATGAAATACGAAAATTCGAAATAACGAATGGCATAGAGAAAGTCTGTAAATTTAACGTTCTCATTTATGCTGCAATAAACATTTTTCTTTTCACGAATACACTTACAGATTTTTTATAAGTCATGTTTCTGTTATTTAAATCTGTTGCTTTTAATTGATCATATTATTTAACTAATTTATTTAAACTAATTTTTGAACTGAATTAAAAATAAAAATAATGTCAATTATTTTTCTTATATATTATTTTAAATTTTCAATTTATTTGATAATACTAATAAACTCCATTTAAATTTAATCTAATCTAATCTATCAGTCGATAGATACATATCTATAATACATGTCTAATATGTACATTTATAATCAACCATAATTGTTGATAAATTAATCTGTTGATCAATATTATAGATAATAATTCAAGGTGAAAACAATAATAAAAGATATTAAGTTATGAAAATTCATTGTTCTCTTTGTTAATTTAATTAATTTTATTCTATAAAATAATTATAATTTAATTTTTATTCGAAACTTATCTTTATAAAAATAATTCAACGTTATAATAATTATTATCATCTTTTTAATATTACATATCCTGTATATATATATATATGTATATTTACATAAAAATACACAAGATATAACTTGCATTTAATTTATTTAAAATTTATATATTTTATATTCATAATCATTATTTTCTATTAATAATAATTACTTTCAATCTTTTTTTATTTTCTATATAATATTTTTTTTTATCTTTGAGTTTATGAAAGAAAATGTATCTGTACAGTGTACAGGAACAGATAAAAATGGGAAGTGATCATAACGTCGCGTTGGGTCATGGGTGACCTATAATACGATAAATCTTATTTCACATGTGCATCGCACATGTTAATAATGTGTCAGTTACTACGAAGTGTTTTGTTCCGAGCGAATGTTTGCTATTAAATTGGATCAAGTTCATCTTGTACCTTTAAATGTGAATCAATTTCAATTTTACAGAAATTATTTGCAAAAAATTCAATCTAAACAAAATCTGATCTCAAATCTCAAATTTATATGTGTACAAGTTTTGAAAAATGTTCTAATTGTTTGGAATGAAATTAATTTAAAAGAGTAAAATATTTTTATTTGCTGGAATAAGTTCATTTGTAAAAATAATCTCTATTAGAAAAAAAGAAAAACATGGTTTCACGAGTAGTACAAGAAAATATATAGAAAATATATCTAGTATAAAAATACGCAGCGTGAAAATAAAGTTATCAAAGTGGTTCCATTGAAATCGCACAATAAGCGTTACAGTCACTTGTTATACAATTTTATCGATGTTACTTCTCTTGTCAATTCATATGAGCTTTCAAGCAGTTGTATAATGGATCCTGTTACGTCCTTCGAACGATTGTCAATTTCATCGTGTATTTCTACCAATAACGAGTTTTTAAAGGAACGATATGAAAAAAATATGTATTTTTAAATATAATTAATATTTTATATTCTTTCTATACAAATTTTAAACGATTTAATTAAAAAAATGAATATGTATATTTCTTTTATTTTTAAAAGTCTATAAAAAAAAAGAAATATCTTAGATACGAATATTTTATCTATCCCTTTTAACGAAATATATATGTCGCAATCAGCTATTTCATGAGATACGGATGAAATATCTTAATGTATTTTTATTATATCGTGAAATATGAGAAATTTGACATGAGAAAAATTTGTATCTCGTATCTCAACTTAATTTCCTACATTTTTTTCTAAACAATTTTTTTAAACTCGTATCTTTCCTTTTCAACTCGTACAAATCAATATAACCTCTTCGTTCACACAACTTTGCTGATTTAAAAAATATTACGGATATCACACGATATAATTTTCATCTCACTTATGTTCACAAAAGATTAAAACACAAGTTAATTTTATATCTGTTATAACGATTTACTTTGTACTTTTAAAACGATAAAAATATCATATGTAAAAAGAATTAAAAGTTTCACGAATACAAGACGTTAGAGCGCGCCCTCTGCAGATTATAATTATTATTAAACTCGATTATGTAACATATGTCGATAATCATGTAGAGTATAAAAAGTTGAAACAACTATTTTTAAAATAGATATAATTTGTAGTAAAGATATCAATATTTTGATGATACGTTGGAAAAAACCATCGACATTTTTTGAAAGGAAATTGCCAAGCGTCTGAGTGCTTTATGATAATCTTTGGTTATTCACCCTTCAAAATTTTTGATCGACCAGTACCATATACGGAGTGATTTAAAGATGTAATTCATTTTTTATTCTTTCATAGAAATGAAGAATATTTTTCTACAAATTCCATTTTTTATTTTACTACAATTCTAATTTTTATCTTTCTCATTTATCTTTATCTTATTTCCTCCAAAATTGTTATATATAAGTATCTATGGAACAAAGATCATTCTGTTTTTCTTACCACAATGGATTTTTAATAATATAAAAGGTATTAGAATTAAAAATAAATTTCATTTTCCAACTAGGATTACAAAAATCTTATGTATAGATAGGCAAAAAGAGAAAGAACAGATTCTTTCAATAAATCTGTACAACTTAATTTTCTAAAATGTTCTTTCTGACCAATTTCCAGACCAAAGAAAGTCCAGACGTAGAAAATTTTTAGAATAAATGTTGCTCTTATTCAACATTACATATACACTCTTATCGTCTAGTGATGTCATCAACCTGTAACTATGCAGATCTCTTTGTTCTGAAGGTTTGGTGTCGTTTTTCAGTTGCTCGTGTAACCTAATTTCACTTGCCACCACAGTCGAATATTCTTAAGATTTATTTTAATTTTATCTCGAATGGAGAATATATTTCATCTTAATATTATCCATCTCAGGATTTTCTCTCTTTTCTCCAATCTAACTATTGTTAACGGATTAACAATTATTTTATCACATTCAATTTATCCGAATAATCAATACAATGTTCGATAATCAAGAATCTATCATAATCGAGATGGAAGAAATCAATTCTTTGATTGAATATAATTAAATTTTATCATTACCTTTGGACCACCCGATATATGAGCACCACCATAGCGCGTTTATTTACGTTCTTAGGGGCGTAGGCAGGTCGTCGATTCATGCACTTCTACCCTTAATGGCGGGGTCGAAAATCTCGTGGCCACTTGGGGAATGAATCACACCAGAGAAAAATCGATACTCGTCCCACGTTTTCGTATGGAATGAAGAAAAAAAAAAAAAGAAAGAAAGAAAGAAAAAAATTATTGAGCTTAACTTTCGTACGAGAAGACAGTCAAGATCAACGAGAAAACAGTTTCCTTCTTTTTCTCTTCCTCTTTTTATATTAGTTTCTTGGAACCAAAGTCGGCACCATATGTGATTGCACATGGTAGCTTCCCCCCCGTTTTAATGAGACACTACTATCGGGTTTCGTACAACTTCCTAAAAGCATTCAACAGTTTCAGGAATTGTATTTTTTGTCCCCCAATATGTATCTTCTAAAAATTCTTCGAAAAATTGTATAAATTAAAAGTTGGAGGAATGAACATTTTTTAAAAAAAAAAAAAAAAAAAAAGTTTAGTTTCAGAAAATTTTTAGAAAATTTTTTATATTTTTTGTATATATTGTAATTTCTGATATTTTCATGTTTTCACAATTTTTTATTTTATATTTTTCAAGTTTGAAAAATTCGTGTATTTATAAGTGTAATTTTATTTTATTTTTCCTTTAAAAATGTACATAGTGTCTGTCCTTGGTATTTAATTGCAATGATTAAAATAGTTTAAATAACAGTGTAACATGCAATTGTAAGTTCGATTCGAGGTTATCATTAAGAAATTAAACTAAAACAGAAAAAAAATAGAATGCATTTATTTTCAATTCTTCAATATTTTTTTATTATTATTTTTTAAAAATATTCTTGTATTAAATTTGTAATTTTATCGTAACAACAATAAAATTTCAATAGAATCAATAATAATTTATTGATTTATAATAACTTTTATTTCTATTTATAATGATATTTTTGGAAAATTTGAGAATTGCCGATTTAAACGTGTATATACAGACATATAAAATATAGTGAGATACCAGTCTATTAAGCTTTTTAAAATTGTGTATTATAAATGTTTGAATCGTATTATAAATATTTGACTCAATAATTAACATGTTAAATCAATATGTTGAATCATATAAAAAGTTGAGAACCCTTTGAACGAGCAAATACTCTTTTGAATCTGTATATAAAATTTAATCCAATCTATAAATTATAGAAAAATATTGTTAAATTAATATTGTTATTTTTATTCTTAAAAATATATATATATATATATAAATATCGAAAGACGATGGCAAGTGTAGGATAAAATACGAGTAAAAAAAGCAGAGCACGATCGAATCGAGATTTTCTCGATTGATAATAAATGCGTTCGTAACACGAAACGCGATTTTCGATGAACCGAACGGTCGGTCGATCGATCGATTAACGAAAAACGAACCTAACC